AGCCCTCGACTGATTCGTTTCACACAGTACAAACAAAGCCACGCTCGAAAGTGATGAGCATAGCTTTCGCGGTTACTGCTACAACTTTAACTTAACTCATTTTTGCAGTTACTATTATTTCGGGATGCCAGCAAAGCTGGAAGTTGCAAAAGCCATTTCTTTCGCCATTATTTCCCGCTCCGTCAGAATTTCAAGGACAAAGATTTCCACATGTTCAACATATTCGTCACTTAGACTTTTTTGAATGCCAGCTTCACGAAAAACGCGTAACGCTTTTCCTGTCAACCTGACCACGCGATCACATGGATAAAAAGCGACTCACAAGTAGTGTGTAAGAATCACTGTCAGGAATTGTCATATTAGCAGTCATTTGAGAGTGCATCGTTTCTGTACGGTATTCTGAGATCGCAGTCATTAGATCAATGTCTAGAGCACGTGACTAATTTCGGCAAGTAACTCAACGTCAAGCAAACGTCCCGTCCCGTCAAATGCTACCGCAAGATATATAGCCCCATCTATTTAATTCTAAGCACACTGAGTGGTCTTCTCCGAAAGTACGAAAGACTTGGTTTGCCAGTTTTGACAAAGCCCCATTTCTGTATTACAAGCACTGCTTTCATGAATCACACACAGCGATCAAAAGCAACATTAAAATAACAGCAACAAACAAGTAAAATATACGCTACCTACCTCCTTGCTTAACATTTCTACATGCAATCGTCTAAGATTTTCGTTGATTTCCTTCTGTCGTTGCCTGAGCCATTGAAAGAAATTTTCTGTTTTCAAAAAACTCCTAAAATTTGATTAACAGACGAAGGAGAGGACCGAAGAAGTTGTACCCGCACCTGTACAAACTCGTCCAAGATCCTTTGACCCCGGTGGTTAAAGGAGGCATCGAATTTTCAATGAAAGTCATGAATTCTTTCTCATCGAAATCTCGCACCGTTGGTGGATCCTAAAGAAACGACTCCAGGTGTTAAAAATCATCGAAAAACGAAGCGCCTACTCGCCAAGGCGACATGTTTTTCTTCAGCGGCATGGTTGAAGCAACGTACTGCTCCTAGTAAAACTAGATCTAAGAAAAAATGTTTAAGCAAATAAACTCGATTTACCAACGGAATTAAGATACTCTGAGTCAAGTCAATGAAATATCGCCTAATTATTGCACTCTGCGCTTCCGCGGGTCGGTTGGACTCGATTCCCTGAAGATAAAGAAGCAGCGTTGAAAGCCATGCGAAAGCAAGAACGGGAAAAAATGCCGCACCTGAATAAGTCTTTTTATAAGCAATTTGTCCTTTGAAAGCAAAAGCTTGTGGCGAGAAAATACACCTGCAACATCTACCCATAAAATTGCACAACGACGTTTCACATATTTTATTACGAATTTAACAACCATTTCGCGAAGAACCCTCGTGCTTTAAAACAGTCATTCGACATACCTTGGGAAGTACATGGCATCTGTCGGATCCAAAAAGATTTGAGTGATATAGCGCAAAAGTATCATTCACGAAACGACAGTGTTAAGTGGCTTATCAGTTCCTAATTTTCCGCGAACATTTGGATGTCTAGGCAGCATGATTTGCATCATGACGTTAACTGCCATCAACAGCTTATGAACATCTCTTCTCGGCCCAAGCATAATGCTTCGCTGAGAACGTTGAACACAACTACAGTGGTCAAACCTCTTAACTCATTATTAAAATCTGTCAGGAATTTACGGCACTACCAAAGCCAGATGGGTGACGATCTGTGATCAAATGACGCTTCAAGATATTTTAAGTCGATACTTCTGTTCATGGTTCAGACTATGAAAGGCAAATCAGTCTGGAGCAAATATGAGAAAAGACTTCTATGCTGAACCGAACCTTTTCTGGCCAATTTCTTAGGAAACCTGCACTGTCTTAGGTTATTGTGATGTTTTGCCTTCTTTACTGCTCAACAAGTGCAATTAGTTGCGCTATGTGTACTCTGTTCTGTCAGCAAGCTTTAAGTAAATAAACTCGTGAATAAAATAACAAGTAGACAAAATAACTTATCTGAAAAAGGTTGCAATGACAAAGAATATCCATTCGTTCAAAGAGACGACCACGCGAACGTACAAATTTAGACGCAGGTAAAGACAACATTAATGCGCAGGAGTTTCTAGGCCTTGATTAGCTGAATCTTACAATATGTTTTCGATCACGTTTGTTCTGAATTTCATCTTCATTTAATATTGCCACTGCATAAATATCAAAGTATGTTCGTACGCGTTAGGATGTGAAATAGAGCATAACTTAGCCAAAGCCAGATTTCTCGATGTATTGTCCCGCCTGTTGCTAGCATATAGTGAAAACCAGTTCTGTGGCTCTAGCAAGCAAAATGATAAGAGATGCAACTGTCACCGCAGATGCTCAAATACCATAAACCTTTTGTCATCTAGGAAACTAGGAGTAAGCGTGCCGTGATATTTGGTCTTGGAGGAATTATGCGTTACGTGAAATACTCTGCGAAACTTCTGCTTCTTTATTTCTAAGTAGTCAACTTGAATAGAAGTCATTAAAAAAGATTTCATGGTTTGTTCATCAGGGAGCAACACGGGAAACGGTTGGAATCAGAATGTCATTCCCATAGAGAGAAACGCCTTAAAATGCAAAAGGTAATCGACTTAGTTAGCCCAGGTTACCACAACGAGTTTCTCACGTCATATTAGTCATCACAGACATCGCACATGCTCACGCCTGTATACTTTGTAACATTCGCTCTATGTTTATCACATAAACCCCTAGGTTAGTACTTGAACGCTCC